GCTAGTATGCTTACCTGCCATGCTTCTCATGCTTCTCAATTTCAGACACAATGTATGCAAAGAGATGCTTTTCCGCCTCAATTCGATCAAGTGTGTAGATTGGCGCCAGAAACAACGGCACAGAGATGTCATAGTTCACCCAATAGGCCGTCTCCTTAGTCGCTTAGAAATAGGGGGCCGTGCCGCACCGCACCGCTCCGACCGCTCCAAGCTTCTGGATAGAACACCACTGGCCGACCTTGTTGGAGTAGGAACGATGTCCAGTTCCCTGAGAGGCAACGGTTCCAATGATTCTAATTTAATTCTAATTTGTTACTACTAGTAAGGCACTTGTTACTAGTAGCGTGGCACTTGTTACTAGTAGCGATGCACTTGTTCGTAACGAGGCCAAGGTTCGAAGATCCGAAAAGTTGGCGTTTCCATACGTGGGCGCCGGATCAGTCAAGGAATACGCTTGGACGGTGTGCGGCATGCTCACCTTGGTGGAAGACCGTCGCAAGTTTTGCTCCTAATAAGGCCAGGAGCCCCCTAGTAGCGTTCTTGCTCCTAGTAGCGATGCCAGGAGCCCCTAGTAGCTTCTTGTTACTTGTGCAAGTTTTGAAGTCAAATGCCATCGCTACTAGTAGCAAGGGCATCGCTACTAGTAGGACGCTACCAGGTTGGAGGCCATCGCTAGTGGGCTGTTTTGCTTCAAACTTTCAGCTCAGTTCTTGAGCGCGCTTCGTTGTCAAGTTGCAATCTTGGGATTGGCAAAGTAGTTCAGGTAGTTGAAATTCAATGGCTCCTTCCACCTGGAGCAATCAAGCACAGCGAGACTCGAATTGCAAGTCACGAATCACATTGCAAGCTAGATTTAAAAAACAAAAACTGCTAGTGATGGCCTCTAACCTAAGAGCAATAGCGATGGCCTCCAACCTAATAGGAATGGCTTCTGATAAGTGGAAGACACAATTGCCTTTGAACCACCCTACGTCTGCGCTATGGCTACTACTGTCTGCTCCTAGTACTTCTACCTACGAGTGCCATTCCTACCGTTCCTGCTGCTTCGGGCAAATGTCAGTAGATGTCAGTAGCAATTGGTGGTGGTAGTAGAGATAATAGTAGAAATAGTGGTATTGATAGTGGTGGAAGAAATAGTAGAAGTATCAAGAATGCATTCTATGTCTATTAGGCTGGAGACCATCACTAGTAGGTTGGAGGCCATCGCTCATTGCTACTAGTTAAGAGCTTCCTTGAAGAAACGCGAGCTATCCTGTGTCCTACCTAGGAGCATCCTGTACCTACTAGTTACTAGGTACTAGGTACCTCTTCCTTACTGAATGACGTAGGCGCCTACTTAATTAAGTAGGGAGCGGGCCAAAAAACAGTAAACTTGATTCTTACTACTTACTGAGCGTTCTTACTACTTAGCTCCGTTCCAGCCTGTGTGGCCTTGGATCTGTGAAACCATCTGCTCGCAGATTGGAGGAACAGTGATTTTTCACCAACAACTTGGAGGATCCAAGCTCCTCCTGCGGATGTCGGCTCCAACTCTCTTAAAGCCTCGCTTTCTAAAGCAATTGAAATGACTCCTGGATGATGTTGAGAAGGCGGATCGTCTCAGTGGCCGGAAGACCTCAAGGCGATGCCAACCTAAGAGCTTCTTGTTCCTAGTAGCGATGCCAGGAGCCCCTAGTAGCTTCTTGTTACTAGTAGCGTGGCACTTGTTACTAGAAGCTTCTTGTTCCTAGTAGCGATGCCCTTGTTACTAGTAGCGATAGCCTCCAACATAATGCAAAGACCCTTTCTTTCTCCAAGAGATCCCAGGAAGTGTGAGCAGTCGCTGTGGTGGAAATGCTGACAAAATCTGCACTTCGATGAGATTGCAAAGCAAGCGCGATTTCATTGGAAGATGAGGAATTTGACTCTACAGGACAGCAAATCTGAAAGTGGCTAGAGGCCGTCGCTCTTAGGTTGGAGGCCATCGCCAGTACATGTTTCAATGTAGTTTTGTAAAATTAATTCTAATTCAATTCTACTCAAAAAAAGTACTGTCATGAAAAGTGAGTTTTCGAGTCCGACTCAGATTCTGCTTTTGCGAGTCCGTGGAATCTGCTAACCCTCAAATCAATCCGCTCTTGACATAAGAGTTCCTTAGCCCAGTACACTGTTTGAGGACATCAGTTTCATGTTTATCTTTTCCTCAAAGGCCCATTCGCTCAGAGTGAAAAAGCCAAGGTGGTGCAAAGCAGGAAAACATTGATGAAACTGCGGGTGGTGGGAAAACTTCATCACTTCATCTCGATTGCATGTGTTAAAACGAGACGAACAAACGAAAAGAACCGACTAGCTTCTTGTTTTTGTTACTAGTAGTAAGGCCAGGAGCGCCCCTAGTAGCGTCCTTGCTCCTAGTAGCGATGCCGGGAGCCCCTAGTAGCGTCCATGCTCCTGTGAAAAATGCAAAGTTGCCGGAACTTGCAGGCCCAGTTCATGCTCTTCGGCCCTTAGGTTTGGAAACCTGTTTAGACCTGCCGCGATGCCAAGTCTTTCCGTTCGCTTCTTCCGGCACTTGTTTCTACTAGCTTCTTGTTACGACATACTTCCGATTCGCTTCTTCCCGTTTCACCGTTCTTCCCTTCCGCCTCGTGTGAACTCGGTGCTGCCCAGCTCAGTGCCAAGGTGGTCGAAACCAATGGCCCGCAGCCATTGCACGCGGCGCCGAACCTTCAAAGTGAGAAAGCCGCTGGTATGTGATTTCTGGTATACAAGAAGCTACTAGGAACAGGTGCATCGCTAGTAGTAACAGGTGCATCGCTACTAGTAACAAGAAGCTACTAGGGGCTCCTGGCCTTACAAGAAGCTACTAGTATATACCAGAGCACTCTAACCGGTTCCGACACGCTTCATATTTAGCGCCGGCCGAAAAGAAATGATTGTGGCTTCAGCCAAGACGATGTGTTGAAAGCACTTCAATAAACAATTCCAAGCACAACATTAGAAACGTGCAAAACGCGAAACATAGCACACCTGTACTCGCCGTCCGAAAACACCCTCCGCAAGAGCATGCCTCCTCCAGTTACAAAACTACAGTCCCAACAAGAATGCTTTCTATTAGGTTGGAGGCCATCGCTATCAGACTCCCATTGCATGGAAGGCTAGTGCTTGGGGGAAAGGGATCCCAGCATCGCATGGTCACCTGCGCTCTGATACTAAGGTCCAAGAAATGTGGGCCATTGATTTAATATCTATTTCTTAATGTAGTGCCATGAAAATTGATGGTGATCCAACGTATTCTCAGAAATCAATAAGTAGTTCTATCCAACTAGAATATTTGGATCAGGAAGGCCACATATTTTGCAATCAAGCAAGGGTGAACTGACCTGGCAAAATATGTGCGAAAAACAACCTTCCAATCCACAGAATCACGGTTGGTTTTATGATCTCATTAGTCTTCACCATAAACTTATCCAACGAAGAAAACACATCATTAAATCTTATACTCACAACATGAAGGATGCATCTGGCAAAGTGGGTTATAGTAGCAGCGGGACGACGAGCACAAGCTTTGAAGTCACTCAAAACCCAACACCGAAACGCACATAAATGTGGCACGTGCACAATGGCGACACATGAATGAACATGCTCAATCGCCCAAGACCAACCTCTGCTTCATAGTCTCCGGAATTCGGCAGCAGGTTCAGGGAGTGCTGTTGCTGTAGAAATAGCGGGACGTCTGCTCCAACCTGATGTGCAAGCGCGCAAAGTGCCACGTGGGTTCCACAGTCTCGGCATCTCTTGAGGTTCAAGTTTTGTCGGGTTCGACAGAATATGTTGCCTCTCCTGTCTAGTGCGGTTCTGCCGTTGTTTCTTCTCAGTCTTCAGTTCGCTTAGCTTCTTCACTTCTCTCGCTGGACTTGAAGGCGGAAGGGAAGCGCGGCGCCTTGGCGCCTTTGGACCAGCTGCCACAAGTTAAGTTACTAGTAACAAGGGCATCGCTCCTAGGAGCAAAGGGCATCGCTACTAGGAGCAAGAAGCTAGTAGTAGCTCCTGGCCTTACTACTAGGAACAAGAATCTACTAGTTACGTTTCCCTAAAAATCTAGGAGCCAAATCATTAGTGCGAGCGCTTCTTCAAGGGGGAGGCAGGGGGTGTTTCCTTGAAAAAGCGCGAGCTATCCTGCGTCCTAAGTACCAGCTACTTCTAGGTACTAACGACCTGGCGACCTCCACGGCCTACCCCCCCCCCGGCGCGCGCGCACGAAAAAGCTACTACTAGCTACCTCTAGCTATTAGCTACCTAAGTAGCTACGGCCTACCCCTTCCCTCCGGGCTCAAAAAAAAAGCGTTGACGAAAAACGGCGACCTCGCCTCTAGGCCTTTGGCATGGGCTGCAGAGACCAAGATCTGCAATCGCTCAAAGCGCTCTGAGCTCAGCTCGAAGGGCTCTGATGGCTTTGCTCGTTCTCCTCTTGCATCAGCCAAAAGAATCCATTCGACGTAGTTCTGCTTTTGTGCCAACAACCAGTCCAGGTAGTCCTGCCAAATTGACAAACGAATCTCGTCTTCTCTCTGATTGTCTTCTCCCTCGCGCCCTGTCCTCCCAGGATTTCAGAGCAATCGCCCATCGTTCCCTGTTCTCCGTCTTGCCCTCCTCATCATAGCCATTCAGGCAATTTGTCAGCTCCAATGGATGTTGAGTGTGGTAATGAGTTCCTCGACCAAACAAGGAAAGGGGAAACTGCAGTGAACAAATCGAAAGCAATGCCCCACGTCTCATTACAGCCCTCGCCCGCAGAAAGTTCCAACATTGGTAGCGCTGTGAAAGGCATGCGCTAAAGCTCTGCTCAATGTGGCACTTTTGGTCGGGGCATTGAATGTGTGCCTGCTTACTTTCACACGCTACCAACCCCTGCAAGATTGTACGCGTCTTTTCATGCTGCACCAACGCGACTTAACCTCAAGCAATTCTATTGTTTGTGCAACCAAAAGTTTCTCAGTTGAACTTCCTTTAGAGGCCATCACTAGTAGGTTGGAGGCCAGTGCTTTTGGAACGCTACTCCATTTTCAGATGCAAACACCATTGACCTGGTGTCGATTCTTGCCTCACTCAGCTTAGAGTGCAACATAGAGCCACGTCTCACCGGTTTGAGTCCATATTGCAAACTATTTACTCGTAGCAAGGCCAGGAACCCCGTTCGTAGCTTCTTGTTCCTACTAGTAAGGCCAGGAGCAATGAGTAGCGTCCGATCGCTCCCAGTAGCGATGCCCTTTGCTCTTGAGTTATTCGCAGATCTTACTACTTTCGGAGTCACTTAGTGTCCTCGGCTACGAAGCGCCACACACACTGTTACGAACACCGACTGAACATGAAACAGGTCTGGCCGAAGTGCGCCTGTTTGTTCAGTCCAAGTTGTTGCACTATCTACGGTAGGAGCAAGGCTAGTTAGTTCTCATGAGAAGAAGGTTTTCTCTTAAGAAAGGCCTTCAAAAAGGAAGGCTCTTGGCAGACCCCAAGAGGAAGATAAAGGATGGACCGAGGATTAAAGGGAGACTACTAGGAGCAAGGACGCTACTAGTAGCTCCTGGCCCTACTACTAGGAGCAAGAAGCTACTAGTAACAAAGGGCATCGCTACTAGTAAGCAAAAAGTCAAACATAGAATCCCACTTATAGCAAACAACTGCTGACCATGCGGTTACTCTGGGATCTGATGCAACACTTCTTGTCATTTCACACTACCAAACCAATTGGCTTTTGCTGCCCCTTTTGTGTAAGAAGACTCTTAAAGGGCATATATGCAGTGCATAATAAAGCAACTTGCTGATTGTCACCGTGCTTTGCAAGCCATTGCCATCACCTCTCCTCTAAATTCCCACCGGGGAGACTCATGCAGATCGACAGGATGTAGTGAAAGTGCCCTGGGAGCAACCTCAAACACAGCAACACAGTCAAACAAAAGGACGCTACTAGTAACAAGTGCATCTACTAGGAGCAAGGACGCTACTAGGGGCTGGCCTTACTACTAGGAACAAGAAGCTACTAGGAACAAGTGCATCTTACTAGTAACACGGAACAAGAACACTAGTTTCTGGTGGGTAGTAACGTATGGCCATGCGACCGGCTTCAAAGGGTGAAGAAAGCTGAAGCCCAGAACCCGCAGGAACTCGAAGAAGGAATATCCAACGGCTCTAACAGTCCTCGCTGACAGCTGTCGCTGACAGCTGCAGCTTCAAGAAGTGATCAAGACGGATAGAACCGACACCAAATAGGAATGGCCTCCACCCTAATAGCGGTCCTCCCTGCACAAACCACCAAATGAACTCGGTTCATATTGCGAGATCGCAGGATGAACGCATCTGACGCAAGGTTCTCAACCTCCGCATCCGCAACCAAATCACCTCAGAAAAGAAGAACTAGATATCACCTCAACTAAAAGCTACTAGTAACAAGTGCCACGCTAGTAGTAACAAGTGCCTTACTAGTAGTAACAAGAAGCTAGTGGTAACAAATCACGCACGATATCCGCGATTTCCCTTTGTTGACGTCATGGAGCGGGCGCGCGCGCGGGGCGGGGGGGGTAGGAGCAAAGACGCTACTAGGAGCGTCCTCTTGCTCCGTTCGTAGCGATGCCAGGAGCCCCGTTCGTAGCGTCCTTGCCCCTAGTAGTGAGGCCAGGAGCCCCTAGTAGTTTCTTGCTACTAGTGCGTCTGTGACACAGCGCGTGCAGTGGTCTTCTGTTCATTTAGGACTCTTTGCAAGTGGTTTTAACCAAATAGCGCTGTGAGGGGTTCTCAGTTGCATAGAAACGATCCTGGGCCAAGATGATTTCTGGCCCTTTGCCTCCTTTTGTCTCTATACTCATATCCACCAAACTAGTATACAATAGCGATTATTATTTGTATAATAGCGATGCCTTTTTGGTCTCCCGCTGTCTTCCTTGTCTCCGGATCTTCTGCTGAGATTCTGCTTTGTCTCGTCTCTCGCATCTGCCACGATTTCCGTGTCTGCCCCATCTCCCCACCTCTCCCCACTCTTGTCTCCTTTTCCCTTGTCTCGACACTGGCATGATGTATGCTATCACAAGATGACATTCCCTTTGGCTTCACTTTGACATGCATTGGCCTTCCGACGTGTAGTTACTCCCATTTTTGAAGCACACGTTTGCCTTTGTCCAAGTATACAGATGTACCTCCGGAAGTGCCCAACGGCGTGGCTTTCGAAGAGACGGAATGACAACGGCCATGGCTGGCTGTGCTGCGTGTCCGTATATGCTGCGGCCCAAGGATGACTGTGGCAGCTGACTGGCACGGGAGGTTGCAAGCTGCGGCTGCGTGAGTTGTGCGCTGCAGCGGCAAGTTTTTTTGCATTTCTCGAACCTAAATAGCGATGGGCGATGGCCTCTAACCTCATAGCGGGACGATTGGAGTGTGTCGTTGGAGTGTCCGTTTTGGGAGTCGAGTCCACTTCTTGCCACCCAGCTTGCACATCAAACGATACCTCATCACATCACCAACGAGACCTCAACACTTCACTTGTGGCCATACACCACTGCAGTGCCACTGCACCAGATCTCACCTCACACATCACCACATTCGTGTTTTCGATCATGCAACAAGACGGCAAGTCGAACATCAGCCGGATCATCTCACAACTCATGACTTCTGACAATGAAAGGATACCGGATGGAACCCAGAACTAGTAGCTAGGACCAGCTAGGAGTTTACTCTCTTACTTAATCAAGTAAAAGCAACAGCATATTTGGTGGAGGCCATTACTCTTAGGTACTAGTAGCTACTAGCAGCTAAGGGCATTACTACTAGTAACAAGGGCATTACTACTAGTAGCTAGAAGCTACTAGTAACAAGAGCACTAGAAGCTACTAGTAACAAGAGCATCGCTCTTGCAAAAAACAAAACAACTTGCCGTCTTTTCCAAGACACGAGCTTCTGGAACGGCTCCCAAGGCCACTAGCAGCTTGGAGCCTCCCAGTGCCTTGAAAGGCCAGAAGGAAATCAAAGACAAAAGAACAAAAGAAGAAACATATACACTTGCAGTTTCTTTATGTGAATATTTATTTTCAAGACATGCACTTCTCCACTCTTGCTTTCCTTTTCCATCTTTCGATCAGCTATCACCAAATATGTCAAGGTCAATCCTGTCAAACTATGTGCCTTTCAGAGTTTTTGGAAGAACGCCCTCGCTACTAGGGTGGAGGCCATCGCTCTTAGGTTGAATGCTTCCTAGAACGCCATTCTGCCTCGTAAGGGCCTAAGCGCTCTTCGGCCGTTCGTTGCAATGCCCAAAGCTCAGGCGAAGCACCTGCAGCAGTCCGTGTCGTGTCTTGAAGTCCCTTTCGTTCCTTTTTGCTAGGAACAAGGACGCTACTGGTAGCAAAGGGCATCGCTACTAGGAGCAAGGACCCTACTAGTAGCTCCTGGCCTTACTACTAGGAACAAGAAGCTACTAGTTAAGTTTCTGTAAAAATTCCAGCAACCAAATCATCAGTGCAAGCGTGAGCTATCCTGCGTCCTAAGTAGTAGCTTACTTGTAATTAGGTACTAGCTACCTCTAGCTACTAGCTACCTCTACGGCCTACCCGCCCCCCAGACTTGTCGTTTGGGAATGTCTTTCTTTTGCGTTCTTTTCTTCTTCGTAGGCACGAATGGTCAGCCCCAAAGCCCCACTCGTAAGGAAAAGCCCGCGGACCATTGCAAGCCGAAAAGCCATTTCGCCCATTTTGTCCTACTAGCGGCCGAATGAAGGCCTTTCTTCTTATCTTTGTCTTTTTGTCTTCGTTCCAAGTTGGACTTGTGAATTTGCACACATCAACAGGTCTAAACTCAACTCTTTATGTGCCAGGCTGGGTGCTGTACGTCACAGTGTTGGCTGACATCCTTCAGTTGTTGCACCATCGACCGCTTGAACAAGATACTGCGGCAAATGGGTGGACATGCTATTAGTAGCTTCAAAGACATACTAATAGCGTCCTTGCTCCTAGTAGCGTCCTTGTTACTGCAGGTGAATCGATTCCCAAGGACGCTTCTAGTTACGAGAAAGCTTCAAAGACATACCAATAGTATTGTTGCTAGTACATGGATGTTGTCTGCTTGATAACACATCTGCGGCAATCTTTGTCGAACCTCTAGTCGGCTGCGCTACTTTGAGAACCAACGTTGAATTGCAGTGGGAATTCTTTTGCAAAAGCGTAATCTGTAGCTGCACTGGAAAGGGGTGCTTAAATGGGTCCCTTAGATCAGAGGCCATCGAGTAGGTTGGAGGTCATTTCTTCTAGGTTGGAGGCCATCGCTATTAATTTTAATTAGATTCTAATTAAATTCTATAGCTTCTTGTTACTACTAGTAAGGCACTTGTTACTAGAAGCGATGCACTTGTTACTAGTAGCATGGGATTTGTAAAGCTGCTCCCGGTGGTGATTTGATCTTTCCACACGTCCGATACAGGTTAGGCAAAGCGGTACAGGGAAGCACGCCTTCAGGTCAGAATCATCTGGCTCTTACCGATGGTGGGTAGGCTTTC